CGGTCCAAGAAACTGTTTCTATTTCAATAAGTAGCTCACATTATGCATGCCTTCTGTCAGATGAACACAGATCCCTCTTCCAAAAATGATATAAAAGCATCTGAGCAGGGGGATGGAAACTGTGACGTAAGAGGCAGCCAGTGGAAAGACATATGGAGGCAGAGAAATCAGAACGATATCAGCAGTTGGCAAATCTCCTCTTACATTTCACATTCATATGCTCACCACATTTAGACATAAAGACAGTATCTAATACTCCAGCACCAGAAGAGAGGCTGTTTCCAGCATTCTCCAAAGTAGCATGTTCTATTATAGACATTGCCCTGTGCAGCACAATAATCCTACATTGCTCATCTGGATTTTGTGTTTAAGCCAGACAGTGACAACACACTGGCCTGTAGTGAAATCACACTACACATTACTATTGCACCATCATGCAAGTATGAATTGTCAACTTCTATTTACACATTGCCTTTGTGTCCTGGGAAATGAGCAGAGCAAAAAGTTTTAGTGAGTTTTAGTGATACTTGACTGTCATTAAGAAACCTTCTTCTCAAATTGAAAAATAATTGTTGAGAAGAAAACTTATCCCTGAAGCATCTTGCTGTATTCACTCTAATCAGGTTATACTAAAGTTCTCAAAGTTTTTCCTGTTTTTCAGTCTGTCTTGGTTTAAGGTTTGTTTTAGCAGTTTCGGGGGTGGGTTTTTTTTGGTTGTTTGGGGGTTTGTTTAGATGTTTTTGTGGTTTGGTTTTTGGGGTTTTTTTTGAGAGGGATTGAGGATTCTCTTTTTTGTTTGTTTAGGGTTTTTTTTGGTGGGATGGGAAAGGTGTCAGCAGGGTCATGTAACAGGAGCTTTTCACCTGCATTACTGCAATATGCCCAATGAAGAGAGCCAAGAACTACTGCTTCTATGCCACAAAACACATACTGTAACATGCTCCTACCAAACCCTCCTTGTGGTGCTTATGCCCTTTTGCCCAGAGGACAAATAAAAGTAACTTCCTTCAATGGCAACAAAAGTGCTGAGAGCAACATACTCCCAGTTTTCACTGTGAATGCTGTACTGAGACTGGCAATCTACAAAAAAAAAAAAAATGTATTGGGCTGGAATGATCCCTCCCAGGAAGTGACTACCCATAGCAGCTGCACCAGTAGTTTTGGGATGAGTTAGAGAGTTTGCATCAGGGCAGAATGTTACCTCTGACTGCCCCCCAACAAGCTGCCACAAGGAAATGAAAGTTTGGTGCACAAATTTAATCTGGTACTAACAAAGGTTTTTCAAGCTACACAATCTGCCCAGACTTACAAGTTATAGGATCAAATATTATTTTGGACAGAGCTTGAGTCAGTACTTAATTATCCAACCTAATGTGATCTGCTGCTGCTGAAGGTCAGTAAATGCAGAGCTTTCCTCCTCTCCATCCCTCAAGATTTTTTTTTTTTTTTGAAGGACCATATTGGGATGTCCCAGATAACACGTCTTTGCCAATGAGATCCCAAATGTGGCAGCAAAAAGCCAACCTCACTGCAGCCTATTAACCCTATTAAGTAAACTCATGGGTAATTATCAGCCATAAAGTGTTGAGCTCTGTTTGTTGGACACAGAATTTCTTAAGCATCCATTAAGAGGCTATTAAGACACATGCAGGCACTTGAGTACAGCAGGAACAAATTAATTGCTTTGATATATTTTGTGACTGTTGTTGAGTCTTCAAAGAAACTGCAGTCCTGAAAGATAACTTTTCCATCTTAATTTGTTAGAATCCTCTTGGGGAGGAACAACAGCTCTAGGTATGTATTATGCAAACATTACTTACATGCTGTGGCTTGTGCAGCCTGTCAAAATTATTGTAAGCAGTTGCTACCCTCACATTCAAACAAAATTAACATGGCACAAACCTCTTACAGCTATTGTAATTTTCTATGGCTGAAGTGCTCTTGTGCCATTTCAGGCAGGTCAGAGATCCTAAAAGAAGAGGCAGCTTTTTTGCAGGTCAGTTATCTGCACTTCAGATGTGATGCCAACACACAAGAGAATAGCAGGAGGAGAAAAGGAAATGCAGAGCACTTGCTAGATGAGATACTCCAGGGAATAAATAAATGGGGATTTTTGAAATGTCAAGCTTTTTTCTGTAGAAGTTCTAACAAGGCTATAACTCAGAAGTAGTCACAGGAAAAGAAAATATTACCTAATGCTAAAAAATAAGTAATTGTAATATATTTGTGGAATACACCTTCAGCATATATATGGGCTTGCACCTTCTTTAGAAACTGCTTTGACTTTTGTTCAGTCACTGAAAAGAGAAACCATGCTTTACTTAATTAACTGCTCAAACAATCTATAAAGAAGGTATTTGCAGGAGTTATTTTGTCTTTATTATGGATTTTTGGGAAGCAGTAATTCACTTTTCTATATCAAGAAGGAGGCAGAAGAGAGAGTACATAAAGCTATAAATACTATTAATTGCAGAGTGAGGCACAATATTGTTAAGAGTTATGGAAACTGTCCCATCTCCTTTATTCCTTTTGCATCTGACTATCAAGTTTAAGAGAAAGAGTAATTGAACCATTCCATCAAAACCCTGGTGTGGATTAAACCCTTGCCAAGAATGTGCTAGCATTGATTACTTATAAGAGCTAGCAGTTTTAGAGCTGGTTTAGAGGAATAGAATAAGCCCAGAACCCCAGAAGCTAGGTCTTGAATGAGCAGACAGCTGTGCCACCAGCATGAAGGAGACAAAAGCATATGATCAGTAGCTTCAGAAGCAATTCAAATAGATCAAGAAGAGACATCAACTGCAGTTGATCTATTTAAATTCATGAGATCATATTTGGAAACATGGAAGAGAGCTGCAGGAATAATACATCTCTTTGAATTAAGTCTTGCAGAAAATTTATCTTTTGATAGTCTGTCTTAACATCTCAAGGCAGACTGACACCATTAGATGCAACATCAATAAAAGGAATAAAGAACACAAAATCTAATGATTAATAAAAGACCTCTGAAAAAAGCATTCTGGGTTGGAAGAGGGCTTTTTTTTAGAATTAAACTCTATGGCAACAAGAATCTTTAGTTACAGCTTGTATACATATATATACACATACTGTATGTATGTATATATACATACATTTTTGTAACCTAAACATGCATCTTACTTATACAGGCTGCTGATATGCGTCATCATAAGAGTAAAAATCAGATCACTCTCTCTTTAACTGTGAATACCCTTTACGCTGCATACCCATAAATTCCTTTCAGCACTAAAAGGATCCCAAAAGCAAGGACAGATTATCTAATATAGAACAGCAAGGATTTATCCCTGTTAGCAGTCTGCAGAGGACCCACAAATCCATTCTGCAGATCAGAGCAAGCAACTTAAGGAAGCAATTTCCCCCTCACAATATCGCCCTTTTGGCTTCCCAGATTAAGATATCTCCCAAGGCCATGCTCTATTAAAGCACTTAGAAAGCCTGAAGAAAGTCACAGCAAACTCGCTGCATAGCTAAGTGGAAGAGAGGCGAATTGGATTTAAGTCAGTTACTCCATAGGAGAAAAGGAACACCAGCCACAGACTGGCACTGGGACAGCAAGACAGAACAGGCAGCCAGTGGTCAGCAGGGAACAAGGGCAAAGTGATCAGCCCTTTTCATAGCATCTTACCCAGGCAGAGCTCCCCAGTCCCTGAGCAATGTTGTGTAGAGCCACAGGACATCCCTCCCGAGGTGACAGAATGCTCTCAGCTCAGGCTACCATCCCTCAGGCACACTACTAAGTACTCCGAGGGCAAGGTAGACCTGCATTACCAGGGTTCATCTGCAGTTCTTGGACAAACAAAACAGAAGATTTACACTTCAAAGCTACTGACCTGGCATTGTTCCAATAAACACCAGGACCCTATCCAAGCTGTTATCAAAATCACATGCCAGACCCAAAGGACAACCTTAAAGCTGAGAGAAACTTTACTGTCCTGTTTCTCTGAAGAGCATCATGAGAGCAAATGCTAAAACATAAACAAAAATGATATACACAAGTTGCAAAGAAGTGGGACACTTTTGTCATTAACTATTCCCAGTGGTGGCAGCTGATTAGGCCTATAGACACTTGGTAACTACCTTAGATTTAGGTTATTATTCAAGCTGCATGTCTTTGAAGGCCTATTAAGGGCAATACCAGAATCACTCAGAATTTGCTCCTCTTTAGTTTTCCAACCACTTTAGCATCACAAATAGACACAGCCAAAAAAAATATCTGAGAACAGAGATTTAAAATAGGATCTGTATAAACAATTCATAACTCAAATTCATAGCAGACTGCTACCTCCCGCTACATAAGCCAGCACTAATGGACAGCACTACAATAATTTTATACCTCAAGGAGCACATTTCAAAGGGAGATCCCCTTAGAAGTAAAAACAGGGTCAAAAGGTACAGTACAGAACCAGAATAAAAAGCCACAAAGCAAACATACTGAGCAATTAGATTTTTCTGCCTATAGTGATTGCATTTTTACCCTCGCTAATATCAAATTAGCTCAGACCACACGATCCCCTCTTCTCTCTTCCAACCCACAAAGTCCTATTACACTTAGCTATTTTCAAGCACATCAACAGAAGCCATAACTTGCCATTTCTCTGCACACAGCACATTTGCTTAACCAAATACACCTCTTCAAACTGCAACACTATAACCATGAAAACAGTTGCAAAGTAAAATTTAACCATCCATTAATTTACCTACCTGCTCAAGACAATACCAACAGCTTACATGGAAGGCTTTTAAAGTGCTTTGTTCAGCAACAACTATGACACTAGACATAAATATTTTAACTAAAAATTTCACTACCTATAGACAGAAGGGAGACAGCACTGGGATGGGGTTTTATACCAAATCCAATTCACATGACTGAGGCTTTCTCATGAGTGTGACTCATCTGCACCTGTGATGAGTAAAGTGCTTTAAGCTGAAGCTGAAGTACTTGCTACAAGTTACTGCTTATCAGATAGAACTGGGAAGGCAGCAGAGCAAACATTGATGCAGCAGAAATACCAAATATTTCCTCAATAGATTTACTGCTTTAGCTGTTTTCTTACACAAAATACCTGACGATCTTGGACACTCTCAGGTAATTGTTAATGAATAAATGACTGGGGCTGGTTGTGACCTAATTGTAAAAAGCTTCTCCTTTACTGTGTTTTCTTCCTTCTTTATCGTGCTTTCTTCTTTATTGTGCTTTGAAATTGGCTGAGAATATACTCTTGGTGGTATTTAGAGATGAAGTTAAGGTGTGCGTGGTAAAGCTTTGTAGGCAACGTGGCTACTTTAGCATGTCGCTTTTAAAGGAAAGAATCCAACTGATTTGAGCTGAGGCATTTCCAGCATTTTTAAATTGATAAATTGACTGCTATTCAATATGTGTCCCTAAGCAAGCAATATAATTAGGTGAGCAGTGAGTGTTTAAATAAAAAATTCTTAGAAGAATAGTCTGACCTTTGGGAAGGCAAGAAAGCTAAAGCAGCTATTGCACAACTTGCTGCTACTACCAAACATACTTTTCTCAAATCATGCTTCAAAGGGAGAATGCAGATTACATTGCAGACTCTACTGAGTCCTGTACTAAAATCTCTATTGATAACTCTCTCCCAAGTATTTAGAGTCTCTGCATTGCTTTAATAATAAAAAATTACGTTGCATGTCATTGGATCACAATAACTGATGTTTTTACATGGTGCTGACAAGTATTTTATGAAAAATACGTCCTTCAAGATTTGCTATGGGTCAGCTGGATTGACCAGTAAAACAGGAAGATCCTGAAATCTTCTTACACAATATTCAGAAAATGAGGCTACTTTCTTTTCCTAAGGAAGTCCAGATACTGACAGAATTTATCTGTATTTGTGGGCCCAGGTGATTTATGCAGGCCACAGCTGGGTTGTTTTCTTGTCATCCTGATCCCTTCACTGGCTTTCCCTCTGGTTGTGGAGGAGTCTGCTGCATCCCTGAGCACCCTACTCCTTGCCAGAGACAGGGGATAAAGACTGGAATACTCATGTAATGTTCAGCACAGGGACTGGTGGTATAAACCCTACATGGTGGAGTAAATCTTGTGGGAGTAGTTCCTCATGCAAGGGAACACTGGACCCTCACTGCTTGACCTGAGATGTAGCTCCTGCTGTTTGGAGTGTGGCTGGCATGACCTTATCCCTACCACTGTCCTAAGCCAGAGCATCCTCCCCTGGTTTCCTTTTGGGGCAGGATGTGGGACCTTCACCAACCTGGGGCCATATATGAACTGTAGCCGTAATGGTTTATTGTGCAAGTGAGAAGCATCACTTCTTGTGTGTGCTATCAAGGGTTATTCAGATAGGTATTTTCTTTAGTGTTGTTCCTTTGTGAAGTTTGACTATTATTTTTTTATTGACTTTATAGAAAAATGAGTATTTGAAGCAAGCAAAAGTTCATCTCTGCCTCTCATCACAGCCCTGCTAATTGGTCTCCTGTAGGAGCACACTAGTGAAATTTGGTGCCTGCTGCATGGGCAGAAGGCACTCACTGTCTCAAGGGGCAAAAAGGGACAGCCTGGTGGGCAGGGAGAGGCAATGATGTCCTGTAACAAGTTTCTGTATCAGAAATAGCCAACAATTTTCAAAAGTTCCCAAGAAAGAAAAAAACATATTCCAAAGGCTTGTATTAATTGTTCTTTTTATTTTATTCTTCTTTTGTCCTATGACAAACACATTCTTCATTTTGGACTAAATCTGCAATAAAATATTTTTATGGTTATCTAAATGGGTTGCTTCAGATTTTAATCACTCACTGCAGACTCAGCCTTTCCCTGTTGTGAATGCTGCCACTTGAACAGCTGACTCAATTTCATTTTCAGAAAGGTAGTTTTAAAAAAAGGAACAGTGTTGGAATAAAGTGCTTCTATTTCTCTGTGGTTTAGTTTAAATTAACTATGCAGGGTGTTCTCCAGAAAGCTATAATGATTTGATGTTTTGTTGTGCTGTCTTGAAAATATCAGAACAATCCTTGCCCGGAGAGACTGTTCCAATAGGAATCACTTGCTTTTGTGTGGAGATTGCATGACCTTTAAAGATTTGATACCCTTCTCTATCATTTACAGATGCTGTGGTGTACATTTAATCTTAGGGATGTTAACCTTACTAAATTTTGAAGTGTAAAAATCTTCTGTTTCTCCTCAAAGGAAATCTTAAGGTTTATGCTCATCTGGTGCCCGAGCTGGCATTTTTCTGTCCAAATCAGCCTCTGATGGTTTCTGGCTAGGATGATGTCAGCACTTTTACTAAGGTGATCCCCAACTACTCATCTCAGTCCTGACACTGGGCCTGCAGAAACAGCTAATGGCAGATGGGCAGTTTGCTGTGACACACCAGTCACAGTACTGCTCTTTACTGGGGATAGCTTTGATTGCTTCTCCACCAGCAGACACAGGGCAGGACATGCTTGGTGGGCTAAGCTTAGGGATTTCTGTGTGTAGAACATATGTTTTTGGGCACAAACTTGCACTTTGAGCTGCACCAGATGCACAGCACAAACCAGCCATTGCAGTGTGCCCTATGGAGCATGTTGCAGGGATGGGGATGTTGATGCTGAATCTCCTACGTATTTTCCCACCAAGCACTTGTGCAGGATGTGTAAAAGTGTAATCAAATTAGATGTCTCCTACCTATAGCTGGTCTTGATTTAAGCATCTGTGCAAGTAAGAACACAATTTTTTAATATTTTCTAGCTTCTGGAAGTGATAAAGTCCTACACAATGAAATACACTGGGGATGTATACAAAGGTAATGTAATTGCTATGAAACAAGGAAAAATTAGGAAAAAATTTCCTAGCCCTCATTCCTTCACTCAAAAGCATGTTAATTTCTTAATTACACTTTTGTGACATTATGCTTTAAGAAGCAGCTAGATTGAAACTGCCAGCCAGTAATACCTGGTATCTTTTCCTTTCTACTGTAAGTCCATGCTTACAGTACTCCTAACAGCATATTTTCTTGAAGCATGTTTCTTTGCTTTTGCTAACTGGAGGGGAACCTTCATATATACATATGAAAAATAGAACATCCTTGAAGTCTGCCATCTGGGTAGAAAGAGCCAAAAATCACATAGGAGATCTAATAGTTAATTTTTCTTTAATGGTCTGTGTCTAGGAATATCATTCTCTGATTTTCTCCAGTTCCTAAAGAATAATTTGGCTCCCTGTGCAAGCTCAATTTGAGTGTGATTCCACAGCTGCAGAAACCCATTGATGTGTGGTAGTGAGCAAATCACTGCATTTTTTTCAGGGCTCAGCTGTTTAAAATATACTGAATGCAAAATCACTGGTAAGTTACAATGTGTTTTAATTACTCTAATTAAAGCTTCTGTAGTATGGCACAGTCCATGATATTTCATTGCAAATTATAGCTCATGTACCTACCATGGCAAGCAGGCATTTTCCTGCATCTCTTTATTCAAAAACTAGGAAGAATGGGAAGAAACAAACTTTTCAAGCTAAATTGCAGACTAACTAGTTGAAGTCTTTTGACACATTTTTTAGCACCTCTACAATGAGAAAAACATTTAAATTATGGGTCTGAAGAGCTTCATCTGATGGTAAAAGAATAAGAAATCCTTCCTTAGGCTTTGGTCTGGTTCTATTTTTATCAGGTTGACTATACCATACAAAAGGGTGCACTTAATATTGCTCATCACACTGTGTACCATAACGTGCAGATTGCAAGTCTCTTTCTGCTGCAGACAGGAACTCATCACACTCCTTAATGGCAAGTAGATGTCGAACTAGTTTGGGAAATATTTATTTGGGTATTTTGCATCAAGACGAAGATGGAGAATCTTAGAAAATGTTTTTCTGACTTTACTGGATATATGTTATGGATTTCCTGGAGTGCCCCTTCCATGTCTCCTGCTACAGCTTGAATGACTTTTCCTGTCTCAGCATGGCCAAAGACAGGCCTTTATAACTTAATGGGTTTTTTCAAAGAAGTTCCAAGTAAATGTCAGCAGTAGTTTCCATCTCGCCTCGTTACGGTCACCCAGACTGGGTATGGACCTCCGCATTGCTGCTGGGTTTGATCAAGTACAGCAACTGAGCAAAACTGAGTGCCTGAAAGAAGCCTCAGAGCCCCAGGGGATACTGCCCTGAAAGGCAGAGGAGCTCAAAAGAGCTGGTTGACCTTCCTAAGCAACCTTCTTAAAGGATAGGAAAGCTCTGTTTCTGTGCTCAGGAAAATGAACGTGTGTCAGGATGCCAGCTCGGCGGAGTGTGTAACTCCCAATGAGCTCAAGCCAAAAGAGTTGGAGGCAGGGAGAGACAATCCACAGACAATGTAGAGTAACCACCCAATATTGCTGTATCGGGAATAGCGTGGCCAGCAGGAGCAGGGAGGTCATTCTTCCCCTGTACTCGGCACTGGTGAGGCTGCACCTTGAGTGCTGCGTCCATTTCTGGCCCCTCACTTTGGGAAGGATGTTGAGTTGAGAGGCTGGAGCACATCCAGAGGAGGCAATGAGGCTGGTGAGGGGCTTGGAACACAAGCCCTGTGAGGAAGGCTGAAGGAGCTGGGAGCACTTAGCCTGGGGAAAAGGAGGCTTAGAGGGGACTTTATCACTCTCTGCAACTTCCTGAAAGGTGGTTCTAGTCAGGTGGGGATTGGTCTTTTTCTCCAGGCAACAACTGACAGAATGAGAGGACACAGTCTCAAGCTGCATCAGGTTGGATATTAGGAAAAAGTTTTTCATGGAAAGAGTCATAAAATTCTGGAATGGTCTGCCCAGGGAGGTGGTGGGTCACTGTCCCTGGATGTGTCTAAAAAAAAGATTGGATGTGGCACTTGATACCATGGTTTATTTGAGGTATTAGGGCACGGGTTGGACTCTCTGACCTTTAAGGTCTCTTCCAACCTAGTCATTCTGTGAATTCTGTGAATTATTTCAGGGAGAAATTTGGGAAAGCCAAGCACAACTGGATTTGACACCACATAGATATGAAGGTTAAAAAGACAACCTTCTCTAAGTACCTCAGCAGCAAAAGGAATACCGAGGAATATGGTACTTATTGCTGTCTAGGAGCAGACAAACTAATGGCAAAAGCCATTGACAAGGGTTTGATTACAAGGTCCTCTTCTCGTCACTCTTTATTAGCAAGGTTTGATCACAGACCTCTCAGTTTCTGCTCTTAGTAGCAGCACTTAGAAAATTGAGGGAGAGGAAATGAACATATATGTCCCCACTGTGATAGGGGAGAATTGAATTCAAGGATGGAGCTGAAGGAGCTGGTCCATGTCATGCAAAGTTGCTCTTGGTGCTCAGGAGAGGTTTCTCATTACTGTGAAAAGAGGAATCTTATTTCCATTTTCAAAAAAAAAAAAAAAAAGAAAAAGAAAAACAATGAAGAAACAACTACAGCCTGGCCAGTCTCACATCAGTAAGTAGGAACATTACAAAGCAAGTCCTCACAGAATCCTTGTCCAAGTACATGACAAATTGAAAGTTTTTGGAAACAACTAACACAGATTTATCAAGAGCAAATGGAAACTGATTGACCTGATTGCATTCTGCAGCAAAAATGTGGGAGTCTGTCAAAGCCTTTACTTTGGGTTTTACTTTGACAGGTTCTTCCATAGTAAACTTGTAGGCAAACTGGGCAAACTGTGAGGATTCACTGCAAGGTAGACAAAAAATTAGCTGGGCTTTCTTGACCAACACAGTAATAGTGAGTCATTGAAAGGCTGGGAAGCCATGTACAAGTAGTATTTCTCAGGTATCACACTGTATCTCCATTGGTTGTGATGCTATTTGAGTTTTGCCTTCTTTTCTTTTACATGTTCTCTGTATTCTTCATACATATATTTGTAACTCCACCACCTATTGTATTAGTAGTGAGTTTTCCCAGTACTTTTCCGTGGTCTATCTCTAGGCAGAAAGACAAAACAAATTCCAGACCTCCAAGCCCTGGGAAATACAAGGCCACAGTGCTGTCTTGGTTCTTCCTGGGAGCCAAGGCCGAGAACAGCTCTTGGAGATGGGCAAAATGTAACTTGTACTGAAGGGGGGGACTCCAGAGAAGAGGCTAGACCTAGGGGAGGAATTGCATCACCACTTGCCCTCTTAATTGAGGCTTTTATCAATTATGCTAATTTCCTAAACCTATAAAAATGTACTCACCCTGGTGGAGTGGTCTTTTGTGAACATCTTTCCATAACTTCCTCTGGAAGCCCTCAAATAAGGATCTCCTTACTAAAATGATCTCAAGTTTCATTTCCAGGTTGAGAAAAAGGCAACAGTTATCTAGGATGAGAGGCTGAAGTGTGCTTTTAGCAAATTGGTGGGTGATACAAAATTTGGGGTCAAGTAGCTGAAGGACAGAAAGGCAGGACTCTTAAGCTGAGGACCTTCTACAAGCTATAGCAGTGGACTGACAGCAACCTCATGATGCTCAATAAAAACAAGCATGGAGTCTTGTATCTGGGATAATCCATCACATGCATTGGGGCTGACTGACTGTGGAACAGCTCTGCTGGATGGGACCTGGAAATCCTGACAGACAAGCTTAACGTGAGTTAGCCACATACTTTTATGGCAGTGGAACCATCTACACACATGCATTGGGAGAGCATGTGCTTCTTCCTTTCCTCTTGGCACTTGTGAGACCACATCTGAAGAGCTGTGACCAGTTTCAGTTTCCCCAGCACAAAGAAATACATGGATGGACTGGAGAATGTCACAAAGATCTCTGGAGCACAAGACATAGGAGAGGAGAAGGAACTGGATTTTTCAACCCTAAAAAGGGAAGGGCAAAGAGATTAAATTGCTGTCTACACCCACCCATAAGGGTGTTTACAGTGGAGATGGGGATAGATGTAGTAGTGACAGGGCAACAGGATGTGCTGCAGCCATTGTAAAACCTAGTGGTTAAACTCTGGAGCAAGCTGCCCAGGAGGTCTCAGCAGACTCCATCCTTGGAAAATGCTAAACATGAGGGCTTATTCTTTCCTGTCATAGTCCAAAAAGCATGCAGAACATTTGCTGGTGAACATCTATGTAGCAAAACCTTTAAATGTTATGACAGTCTCTCATGTCTTTCTCAGCTGTGTCTAATCCCTCCATCCTTTCAACACCAGGTGTTTTAAACTGGTTTTCCCTGGGTATCTTTTCTCTCCTTGGAGTTCTGTCTGCACTTGGTGGCTTCCAGAAGAGGACACTGGGCCCTAACGATTGATCTTAGGCACCACATGAGGTAAAAAAAAACCCATCCTGTTTCTTACAACTTAAGTATGATTCTTAGGTTACAGAATACAAAAAGTTAGTTTGCTTTTGTTAAATTAACATCACTACATAAGCATTTATGTCGTTAGGAATCAACTTGTATGAGCTAGGTCAGCTTCTGTAGTGGTGGTATTTGGTTGCATGTTTCATACTCTGGGGTTTTTTTCATTTCCTCTCTTGGTCCCCTGCAGTTTAATGCATTGAAATAAATTTTACAAATTTCAGACAGTTATGTCTTGTTCTTAAAGGTGTAGAGTTTGAGGTACCCTTTTCAGAGTGCCCCAAATTGTCATTTGTTCCTTCTCTGAGATGGAATTTATTAACAGAAATATTGGATTGTGGCACTGTATTACCCACCACACCAAATTTGTAGCTAACATCATGTTCAGTTGCAATAACAGACCTCTTCAGCACTGAGGGTAAATAACCAACACCAAAAAAGCCCCAGCATTTCTTGACACTTTTAACTGGTTCTTCCTTAGTCTTAAAGTCAAGCTTTCTGGTTTGTTCCACAAATTTATTTTTCAGAGATGCATTCTGAACTTTTCCTGTTCTCAGACCTTCTTTGTCCTCAATGAATATTCAAAGAGAATTGTTCCAAGATTACTTTGGCTTATTTCCCTAGACTCCTTCCTGGAATTTCAACTATCCTGACAATTAAAATACTTTTAACTCTTTATGGTTATTAAATATGTTCTTCCAGATTATGGCCTGTGTCTCTGCTTAAAATTGCATTAAATGTCTGGCCACAAATAACCCTAATGCAGGTGAGATACAGATCCAAAGTACACACTCACTTTCACTAACCCTTAAAAAACCCCAACATAAAAGCCACTGCTTTTGCAGGTAACTGTTTTTTATGTAAACACTTCTAATTGACTTGGTTCTCCTGGATCCTTCTTCTTACCTTTTTTCTCCATGAAATCTGTAAAAAGTGTGTAACTCTGTTTCTTTTTACTGATCTTTATTATTTCTGTTTGGCCTTAGAAATACCCTTCACATTGGTCAGAGTTTAATCTCCACATTGATATTAATTTCAAACTGGACACTCCCCCACTGTTCCAGTATTGTCGTTTAGTAAAGTCTTTTCCAGAAAATAATCTGACATAATGGGTGTTTCACAAGCTTCATGTGGGATGACTTTACTGAAGCTGTGCTATATGCTAAGATAGAAATTATGTACTTGTTTTCAAAACAAAAGCTTGCTCTTAGTAGTGATCTTAGTTTTTCAGGACACAGATTTGGTCTAAATATTCATAACTGAGCTGGTTCTGCAAGAAGAGTGACAACAAAAAATTAAGTGCATCCTAAAGACTGAAATTACATTTTTTTAAAATCAAACATTTTGATTTGATAGTAAATATGTAAAGGCTATAAACAGGTATTGTTTAGAATGTATTACTAAATGCAAATGTTCAGATGCTAGGATTTATATTACACTTCTTTCTATCCCCTGAACAGGTAGTGCATAACAGCTAAAGACAAGAAACTGGTAGAAAGGAAGTCGTCTGTCATTCATGGCTTGCCTAACATGAAGCAGTAGGAAATGGAGAAATAATCTTCATAGTTCTTATTGATCCCTTTATATTATTACAAGCTAGAAAGTCAAGCTATTTATTGACTGAACTTTGGATAGCCACCTCTGATTAGCTCAGCCTTATGAGAAAACCTTACTGTTCAGTGAAAATTCTGCGTGCTGTCAGAAAGTGTAGGAAGATGTGAGGTTACAAAACAGATGTCATTTTTCTTCTTTACCAAATAAATTCAAAAATATTCAAGGTTAACCTTATCACAGTTGATGACAAAACAGAAGGTGTTGACATGCTTCTGAACTTACACTTTTCTCATTTTTATTGAAAAATGAGTTATGATAGTTGTCAAAGATTGATGAAATATAGACTCAAAAAAGGGAAATATTCAAACGATAAGAATTTTTCCAGATGAAGTCATACTTGCTTTCTGAAGTTCTCAGACCAAATGCAATGATGCCTCTATATTCATGCTGCCTTTGGCAAACATACTTGCAGAGTAATATCACTTAAGTTCCACCCTGACATCCTCTGGTCACAGAGGTTTCTCCCTGCAAAACTTGGAATTTGCAAGACCAGCAAGCCTGGATTCTTCACTGGCAAATAAAAAAGAGCTGAGGGACTTGCCCTGGGGCACTGTCCTGTGCCATCTTTAGTACAGTCTTTAGGTTCAGACAGAGAGGACAATGCAGCCCTTGATATCTCACATTCTGTAACTTCTCAGCGGTCTATACCAAACTCAGCAAAAACCCCTGCAAATACAGCTATGAGACCAAGAAAATCTAGGGTCATGTTTCCAGACCTGTTCTATGAAAGAAAACTTACTGTGTGAAGATCTTTGGTCAGAAATTATTCTGTGCTTCACATTCTATAAAAACATATCTCTAACACCCCTTTGGTGGTGGGTTTGGAGAAGGTGGAAATTTTCTTCAGACTCCAGACCTAGAGGTAGGTGTAACCATGAACTTTTGAGCAAGATGCATTAGCTAGGTGCCTGGTAACTTGGATTTTACCAGAAATAAAGACATGCTGTCATTTTCAAGCTTCTTTCTAGAATAGGAAGGCTTCAAAATATTAGAGCTCAATTCAACAGGAATGAGAATAGAGGAAAATTAAACTTACAAATAAGTGGAGTAAAGTAAGAAAAAAAGTGGCATTAAGACTAAACAAAGTATTCTCAGAAGACAAGGATCAAGTCATATTTTAATATCCCATAATCAGACACTCATAATCTGGCATACCCAACTTTAGCTGCACAGAAGAGACCTTAGTGATAAAAGTTAAAGTCAGCTAATCCCTACTAGTTCTCCTCATTATGATTTCCACAGACGATCTGAAATACCAAGCTGTAAATGTATTCTTTGGGTAAGAAAAAATGACAATTGAGTCTAAAATCTAACCTTAATGACCATCCATATTGAGCCGATTGGATAAAAAATTAAGGCCTAGGGATTTTCTTCCTCCAGAGGATGCAGAGTACCCAGTTCCCTCCCCTGGTATGACCAGCCATGAGGGAACTACACAACTGAATCACTTTTTTCCCTCTTCCTTTGGACCTGCAGTGAGAGAGTACTATTTCCAATGCAAGCCCTCTCATCTGAAAGAAATTAATTTTCAATTTATATTGCATCAGTTGCAACGCTAGAAAGCACTGGTGGACTTTTGCTGGCATTTTCCTAAGCTTCTTAAATTCATCATGTCTTAAATCCAGAAGATAAATATTCACAGGATTTTTGATTTAAAACTAGTCCTTTTGGGGTGCTTTTTATGAGCAAACTTATAAAAGTTCTGCCTGAAATGAAATGCGAAGTAACAGCATCTTGGATTAACAAACAGCCATTTTTAAAATAGCTGCTTTTAATTACTGAGCTCTAAATCAAAAAGTCAGTGCAACATCAAGGGATGCTTTTCTCTATTGAATGTGAACACCATTTAAAAGTGAGATGTCTTCTAACCCTTTAATTTACACCTTCTAGGGATGGTTCTGAGTCACAGTTTTAATTTCTTCCTATTTTTTTCCTCCATGGGTTGCAAAACACATTTCAAAGTCTCAAATAAGTGAAAAGACCTGATCCAAAATTCCTTGGCAAATCTCCCTCCTATTGTGAGGAATATTGGCTGCCAAGGGTCCAAGACTGAACTTTGTAAGGACAGAGTTTTTCCAGCACTCCTGGGTCACTTCAAATATCTTTTGAAAATCTAATCTTTGCATATCAGGTGGTGGAAATGTTGCTATCTGTATTTTCCTACAGTAACATTCCTTTATCCCAAACACTGGGATAAATCTTGACATTTATTTTTGGCATTTCAGACAAATTTTGGCATTTCAGAAAATTAGAAGAATGCTTAATTTCCATGTGGCTCTTGTACCCAAAACAGAACCTCCATATGCCCCAAACTCATAGAGAAGGAAAGGAGTGCATTAAATGTTGCCACCACTGAGCTCTGGTACTCCTCCCAAAAACATAGTGGAAGACTATCATAATTATGTAAAACTTTTTAGAAGGCTTATAGTGTTACTACCACAACCCTGCTTCTGACATGAATGAGATGAGTTTCATTCACAAGAGAGACAAATTTCATTCAGGTATTTGTTACATCCTGCTGACGGCTTGTAGCTTCTAGTATGTGAGTTTTTATCTTAGCTAATGGAAGAAACATTTCTTGACTATGATATTTTCTAAAGCCAATTTACTCAAGAGATGCAGAAGGCAAGCGGTGTGGTGGGTCATTACTAATGTTCTGACAGTGCATGGTTTGGTATGGGGGAACATTTATTAAACAAACAACATTAACTTGACCTAAGACTGAAGTTTGATCTCTAACAGGAAGACCTATCTAATGATTAAACCGTGGAATTAGACTGTTAGGACTATAGCTAATAAAAGCCTGGGGTGCTTATAACTGGGATGCTGCAATTCTTCATTCCAGACACATGCTGACCACAATGAAATCCAAGGACCAAGGAAGATGATTTAAAGCCACTCACTGAGAAAAGAGCTGCTTCCAGCCAGCCCAAGGAAAGGATTAATACAGGAGGGAAGGCTGGACTCTGACCTCTTTCGAGGCTAGGTGCCTGAGGGAAGCATAGGAGGTGATTCACAGCAGAGCAAGATTCATTGAACCAGAAGGGAGGTCTTAAGGAAGCTGACTCCACTTTTCTTAGCTCTGTGGTATGTAGCTGAGAACAGGCAAGGTTTGCCTCAGGCAAAACAGGCGGTTTTGCCCTAGGCAAACACAGAAGAGTTGGAATGACCCTGAGACCAGATAAGTGGGGATCCCCACCCAACATGGCCATGATTTAGAAAACGAGGTACTGCCCAGGAGAGTGGACTGTGTTGGGAGAAGAAGGAAAAAGGAGGCTCACTTATTACCCCTTGCTACAGCAGATCGATTTGGCTGAATGGATGGGAGTACATAATGCTGCCACTCTTTCTCTCCCCTACCTGTAACACCAGCCTTTAAGCCTTAGAGAAGATGTGCTCCTGCATTGACCTGATAAGATTCCCAAAAACACTTAGCCCAAGAGAAAGGATGCAGTGTTAAAGGACAGGGTTCAAAGTGTTCTAATAATTCTTTAATTTTTTTTTTTCTGTAGCTAAACATACAGCTTTTAACATTATTTACAATTATTACAGTAAAGCCAAGGTGAGAGTTCTGGAGTTTAACAAAACCAGTCTTAAAATATGCAAATTTGGTGAGTTTTTTTGCAGTGGCTTTAGAAACAGCTGTCACAATGTCCTTACATTTTGTGGTTTGGTGATAATGAATTTGGTGCCACCGCCAAATTTTAGATATTGAGGCCTAGATAAATATTTGAGGAAATTTAGGTACTCAGTCCTATGAATTTAGAGGAAGCTTGGGATGAGAGTCAGCTGCCTAAGCTCAGATGGACAGAGTCCTTTCAGGTGCCTGATAGTGCCCAAATCATCTGCATCAGGCAAGCAGACATGAGGTGGTCCTGACATTCTGGAATCCCATACTCTGCTGGAAAGGCCTCAGGGGGACACCCCAGGGGAAATCCAGTGAACTCTGAACATCCAGGACAAGGCACTTGAACAACTTCCTCAGTTTTTGGGGCAGTGTTTGCTGCAGGCCCAGAGGTGCCCATGTGGACTCAGCCCTTGCTGGGGAGTTCCACACCCCACTGCATTTTGTGGGGGAAAAACATTACAGTGGGTAGTATCCATGTCCAAATTCATCATTTTTTAAGAGAAAAATATTTTTTTATTCTGATCTGTGAAACCTGAGTGAAAATTGAATCCTAAAACTGTATTTTATTATGTGTTGATAAAGCACTGCAAAGATTTTCAATGCTTTATTAAAGGTTTTTAATATGCTTGATTGCATATATCCCAGCCAAAATCTTCTCCATCCTACATAGGTATTTATCTCAGCCAGCAGATTTTGTTTGCTCAGATCCAAATTAGAAAGTATTTAAAGCAGATAGCACATCTCTAAAAATACACTGAATTTACAATGAAGCTTTAACATTCTCTTGCTAAATTTCACACATGTGATTTGATTTCTGAAAAGAAAAGGTAAACACAGAATTTTTCTTCACTAGTTGTCATGCACTACTTGCAACAATAAAAGAGGAATATTTCCTATATTACTCCTATATATTTTAAATAGAGAAAGGCAAGGAAGTCAAGTTTCCAACTGCAGTTAATGCCATGTTTTGTTCTATTTATTGGTAATGTAAGCTCCTATGCAAATTGAATGGCTGGTGCTCAGACCCAGATGAATACAACAGGGGAGGATGGAACTAAATTACTTCTGTCTGTCTTAACAGGACTTTTTAATAAAATCTCTTTACACAGCCACCAATCTTGCCAGGTTAAATTCTCACTTTAGCCGTGTTCACATTCTTGTTAATTTATTTTAACTGCAGCACAGAAGGTTAGGGTAATGGGAAGAGCTGAAAGTGGAATGGTTACAGTGAAACCTGCTGCCTGTACTTAGATAATTTTCCTTCCAAGTGACAGTCCATTAAACAGCTAAATTGTTTTATTTGCTACTAAAAAAAAGTCTTTCTTAGTCTTTGAGTTCCAGGAACTAATGAAAAGCCTTAGAAGAAAATCAACAGATTTTGTAAAAGTAGAACTGATATGATATGCAGAGCTTTTACAATACTATAACTTTTGACTTTGTAGAAAATGAGATAGTGTATCACAAAAGATACTTTTTACAGAGATTACAAATGTTTATTTTTCCCTTAACTTTAAAAAATAATAGTTTCAAAATTCAGGTTTAACAACTTATTCTAGTCACTACTTTAAAAAATCAATTTCTGTATTAAATATATGTGGTAGCTTAGATAAATTCCATTATTTTTTTTGCTATTGAACAACACAATATAAAAAGGGTTTCTGTTTTAGTGTCATACAGGTCTCCCTTGATTTTTATCACAGAATTCAATATAAATAACGCTTTGAAATATTCAGTTATCCAAAACTTTTAAGAAATTCTGTAGATCAGTTTGTATGATACCTTCTCTTTTCTACCCCTTTCTTCTCTTTACCTGATAGGGCCTGCTAGCTCTTACTGCTCCTCCATCCTCTTGGTTGGTCCAACTACTGTAAATGCTAGTTTGTTATCTCACAAACTAATTGTGAAGATAACAGGAATCACTGCAACAATACGATACATATCTCCCAAATTATGTGCATATAAGCAAATGTTTTCATTGTGCTTTTAAGTTTGAGTACATTATACTCTCATATTTGTCTGCATTTTTCTGTATATTTTTGGTAATATCCCACTTGTTAAGAAATGAAACTTTTCTTACTCCTGTGAACATTTATGTTTGGTGAGAGAGCCCAAGCTGTCCAAGCGTGTTGAGGTTTTCACATTTCACAGACAGGTCTGGCTTTTAAAAACTGCTGAGAACATACTCCTGGGCAAAAATGGACCCTGAGCTATCCAAAGGAAATATAAATCAATGAAGGAAGAAAAAATGACTGTGTGGCCTTATGTCTGTACTTGGGAGTGTAAGAGATTTCAGACAAGGAAAACAAAGGATGACAATGTGATAAAAGAAAATAATTGCAGTAGATTTAAAATGTAATTCTTAATTCGTTGCAGGAAGAAACGATATTTAAAATACCTGTTCCAGGTTGCAGAAGAAACTTTAAGCCATTACATTAAAAAAAAACGAACAAAAACCAACCAAACAATAAAAAATAAAAGAAAAACAACCAAAAGAAACCAACAAAACCCCCCTTCCTTTTTATGACAAAATGGGAAAATTTTAGCTTTATTTACAGTTCCAGAAATATCTCAAATTTATAGGATAGTCTTAACTATAGCAATTATTTTTAAGAGAGTCTGACCCTAAAAATGTAAAAAGTCAGTAAAGTAGTTAGAAAATATGATAATCTTCATATTTAACACAGGATTCAGTTTGATCCATGCACTATTCAGAGAGCTTTATTTCCTAGAATTTGTGGTGTTTTCTACTATCCATCAAGGCAGGTCTTGTGGATGATATGTACTGCCTTGGCTAGACACTGGCAAGGAATTTTTCAAGTAAAATACAAATATAATATTGTTAAATGTACATTTTATTTAATCTTGTCATGACACATGAAGCTATGGATGCTAATTAAACACCACAAATCAACAGAGTACATAAAGAATTGGCTTTTGCTTTTTTTTTCTTTCTTTTTTAACAGTATGAGTTAATTAAAGTTATAATGACTGAAAGACAAAAATGTCCCTGTTTTTATACCCAAACTGAATGCTGGTCTGGGGTATAATTCTTACAACTGGTACTTCAGTAGTCACTGACTGAAATTTAATACAAAATTTTACCAACATGTAAAAATTTGCACAGGACCAAAAAACAAGACTAGTCTAGAAATTTGGGGTATGACCTCTGAAAGTCTTCTGATCTGACTTTCCTGATCAAGTAAGGATGTTAAGAGCCAGTTGCCCAGCACTATGTCCCTATGGCCTTTGAAACTCCACAAATGGTTGGAAAACTCACAACCCACCTGGACAACCTGGGCCAGTGCTTCATCACCCCCAGAGTAGAAAAGTGTTTTGTGCTGTTCAGAGGGAACCTCCTGCATTCCACATTGTGTCCATTGCCTCTGGTCCTGTCACTGGGCATCACTGCAAAGAGCCCAGCTCCATCTTCCTGGCACCATCCCCTCAGGTGTTTATAGACATTGATGAGATTCCTCTGAGTTGAGGAGGAATTCTTCTCCAGATTGAGGAGCCCCAGCCCTCTCAGCCTTTCCTCAAAGGAGGGATGCTCCAGGCCCTTCAACTTTGTGGCACTTTTCTGGAATCTCCAGTATGTTTATTTCTCTCTTATACTGGGGAGTCTAGAACTGGATCCAACACTCCTGCTGTGGCCTCACCAGTGCTGATCACTGTGGCACAGGTTCTTTAGCAGAAACCTTTTATAGACAGCTACTTTGGGACACTTTCTTCTTATCAAAAAGATCACTTGCTACTGTCAGTTTGAGGATTAGTAATGCCCGAATGCTTGGCCCAAAGGGTAGGAAAAAAAACAAAAACAAAGGGCCTGCAGATTTCACCATTGATAGCACTGTTTTGTCAAAAACAAAATCCTTATTGCTTCAGTTTTACTTGGAATTTTTTTTTAATATAGACTGAAGTTGTTATTCTGGTCAATGTGACCAGTCAGGTCTTCAAGAGTTTGAATTCCTTGTAGGCTTAGCACAGAGCTGTCTGAATTGCTGAGGGTTTTCTTTTTTCCTTTTAAGTATGAAGCAACTACTAGCTAATGCTGTGTGCCATTTTCCTAATCTATATAGACTGTATAATTTGTACAAGATCCTTAATATTTTGCTATGTGAACCAATTTCATGAACGCTGAAACCCAAGAGTCTGCAGATAGTCAAATCCTCAGAGCAAAGCTGTGTCACTCAAATACATGTTCAAATACATTACTCAATTTGGAAGGAGCATTTGAGGCATGTTGTCCCCAAGTTAACCCCACACCAGAAAAATACAGGGTGGAATTAAGACAAGTTTCTACCAGCAGGGTGACCATGTCCCACACTTACGATTTTTTTTTTTTTTTCTGAGTTTGGAGTGTTTAATAGGAGCATCCTGATCAAAAATGGTGCCCCAGTACTCTTTCATGGTCTCCTGTGAAAGG